CTTTGTTTCTTTAAAGCAGAAGACACTGACTATTCTTTAAGAGTTGTGACACAGGATGCTGAGCAAACCCAAGAAAATGCTTGCATCAGAGGAGACAAGGAAATATTTTCAGTATTATGTCTATTCATGAAACCCATTAAAAACATCTTAGATATATATATATAAAAGCTAGAATCCATAGTCAACAATATAAACTCTGTAATACATAGAGAAAGAACAAGAAAATGTTTATTATAAGCAAGCACATACAGCATAAATCCATTTTTATATCAGTTCATATAAAAATTTTACAAAGATAGCATAAACTATGGCTCTCTGGAAGTGATTTAGACATTTCCATTTTGTGTTTCTCTATAATTTTCAGATTTTCAACAATAACACTGCATTACTTTAAAAATAAAAATCAGATAATAATGCTGAAGTTGAAAGCCACAAACAAAGGCACAGTCTAGTATAGTTATGTCACAAAAGCAAGGGACTGAAAGGTCCCAGCTCTGGCATCAGGAAGGAGGGAGAGGACTCACACAGACTCAGGCTTATTCTCAGCTCAAGGAAGGTGAAGCTTGTCTTGGCATAGCTATGGAGGGAAAAAATTAGGGTCAGCATGGTCAGCACAATGCTGACTTTGTGACAAACACACTGTCACTGAATTCTTTTAGAGGGACATTTTGCGCAGCTCATGCAATAGTGTGCTCTTGGGACTAGGCTTGAACTACTGATTTTGTGATTGATTGTTTTCTGAATTTTTGTTACTGTGCCATTGTTTCTATCTGCTCACCCTTAATCTCTACCTCATTTGTCACAATTATGGTCATGGACATTTCTCAGTATCTCTGTGGGTAGTGATCTTTTGGAATTTTACTTATTCATGCAGTTCTCGACCTGAATTTCGAACATTCTAAATTCGCTTATATGGTAAAGACAAACTTAGATACATTTCCTAGTCCTATCAGTCCTGCTAAATTCCCACCCAGCACTGTTCACAGGGATATTCTTTACATTTATCTTTGTCAGCCTTTCCACACACTAGCAAGCTGAGAGCAGGACTGTTTTTCCATTGCGATGACAGATTTCCTCTGAAAGCACAGAAGATATGCATCTTCTAAAGTTCTCTAATGGTATGATCTGAGATTTCCAGAGAAGATAAATCTGAAATTATGATTTTGAACTAAAATTGACAAGCTACTAGAAGTCTACTCATAGTTACTAAACTAAAGCATTATGTAATTATGCACTAAAATTTAAGTGCTTTACAGTTTATCTCATATAACACACGGTGGTATCTTTTAGGTAGACCTGTTCTGGAGTTATGGACAGCTAAATAACTTACTGAGGTTCACCCAGTTAGTAAATAGTGAAAGCAGTACTTGGATCAAAATTCTTTATCATCCAACTCACACTCTTGTCTTTGATACTATGTGATACTATGTTACTTCTCAATAGTGACATAAAAGTGTGCTAAAGAATCAACCATGGATAGGGCACATTAACTTCCACATGCTAATTCTCAGTGGCTGGATACATCAAGGCTTTCATCTGCATTAAAATAAAGCATTTGCTAGTCTTTAGGGCCTGGATACCATCTAACATATCTACACATTGCCTTTCCTTATGGTGTAGTCATTCAGAAAAAGAGTGAACACTCTAGAGTTTTCTTATATATGAACACTAACCTACAGGATCAGGGGCCCATGCCTACCACCTCACTTTACCTGAATTACTTTTTTCTTTCAAATGTAATAATAGGATGTATTCTGAGAAAGCATTGTTAGATCATTTCACTATTGGGTAAACATCACAAATTGTACTTACACAGATTGCATTGAACCCTCATTTCCAATCACAATCATTAAAGTTTTTCCATAGCTGATGTAGCTACCCCCTCAAAATTTTGTTTGTCCCATTTCCTTCAATGAAGTGAATCCTTTAACAGCTCCTCTTCCTTTTTCCTTTCTCTTTAAAATAGTCCTTACGTTGAAGTAGGGTGGGTCTGGAAGTGAGCAATAACTGTTACTGTTTTTATAGTCACTTATCACTTTTAATTTTGTTTCCAGCTCAATCACCCTACAGGGACTCTTACTGGCAATACTAGTAGAAACCACATTAAATAAAACAATACTTTGTAAAATAGAAAATGATGTAATCTAGAAACAAAGGAAGGATACAGGCCATTGCCTATCTAGGGCATGGACACATAATGCATGTATGTATGAAGACACAACCACAGTGGGGTTTAAGCTTAAACATATGTATTTGGATCAAAATAAGTTTATATTCCATACTCCTAGTCTGCCAAAATGTATATTTCAATTTGACATAAAATGTATTAATTGCGTTCTAACAGCCCCCAAAGTCTTGATTCATTCTAGCATCAATTCTCTAACTGAAAATCTTACCCATATTAAGTAGACTTGAAATTCTAGGTACAATTTATTATGAAGACAAATTTCATTGCTGCTGTAAACCTATGAAATCAGGCACATTATGTGCTTCCCAAATAACCATGTGGCACCATATAAAGTGCCAGAAGGGCGATATTGGAAAAAAGAAAGGAGTGACAGATCCAAACAAATACAACGTTAGGGAAGAATCCAAGTAGGTGGTAACGGTCAGACCTTTCTTTCTGGCTTGCTGCTATATGCACTGAACTTACTGGGTGGTAGGATTATCAAAACTGATTGACAGGGCAGTCTTGCCCCTTATTCTTAATGTATTGCATGGTGGCATACACAAATTGTAATGACTCCATGGTTTGAAACATAGGAGGTAGAATTAGTGCTGCTGGGTTTAGGGTAGTATGTGGTTCTGAGTCTATTAAAATGACCATTTAATTGGTCATTCACAGTTTGGAAGGAGAATACCTGTTCACAACAGGATACCTCTTTCTGTCTTGTGAAGTCTAGAAATATGAAAGTATTTTTTCATTTTCCATATTTTAATCTAATTCCACTTCATTTGGCAATGGGGCATAATCCAATATCTCTTCTGGGCTTCTGAGATGCTTGCTTGATTAAACTTGTGGTTCACATGCCTACTTGATGGCTATTCTTGGTTGTCCACTTGACTACTGGAATTAACTAAATATGGAACTAACTAAAACCCAAGTGGCTATGTACATCTGTGAATGTTTTTTAATTAAATCATATGAAGTGGGAAGACACACTTTTAATCCACATCTTTGATGTGGGAGACCTGCTTTTAATCTGGGCCACACCTTCTGCTGGCAGTTTATGTAAAGGACATAACAGAATAAAGCTTGCTCTCTCTCTCTCTCTTTGCATGCTTGCTTTCACTCTCTCTGGCAAGTCCGTTCCTTCAGTGGTATTAGAACTTACTTATTCTGGATTTCAGTGTGTATTGAAAACTGGCTGAGACATCTACACTTGTGGACTGAACAACTACTGGATTCTTGGCTGAACCACAGCTTATAAGCCATTCTATATATTTCATGTTTCATACATATATTTCATATAACACACACATACATATACATATACATACATACATACATACATACATACATACATACATACATTCCTGCTCCTTTAGAGTAAGTACCTTGACTAATACATGTATACAAAGTACCTATCAAATGGTCATTCAGCTATACAACCTAGTCTTTTCTCAGAATAACTTTTCTTATTCCTGGCAGTACAAGTAGGCTGAGAGTTTGCAAAGTCAACAATTCTGATTCTTTGTTTTTCTTAATAACTCCTTAATTTATATCTTTCTTCTCATATTTTACTATAGATTGCAAGAGTAACTTAGGCTGCTGTTTCAGTGCCTTTCTTAGAACTCTCCTTAGCCCAGTGTCCAGTTTTGGTTTTGCCTACTACCAGGCACTGGGAGATGGGCACAGTTCAGTAGAGCTTCTTGACATTTTTACAGTATTGTTTATTCTCAATGTTCTTCTTGTGTTTCTCATGTCTGTCTGAGACTCACCATGATGGCCCTTTTCATTCATATTTTTATCCAATCTGCAAATGATTAATGATATATTGTCTGAGATTACAGAGGTTTCTTCCTGGGCCTTTAGCGGAGTCCCTAATGTCCACATTTCTACTTACGCTGTCTTCAAGGTAAACTGAACTTTGCTTAGTGCAGACCTCAGCATTTTTACAGGTTTTACTCAGGATTCAGTTCCAAACCATGCATCTGGGTGTTTGGTAAAGTGGACTCTGATTCTTATTTAAAGTCATTATAGCTCTGAGTGGGAAACAACAAAAGATACTAAAGAGTGTGTGATGAAGAATAAAAGTCAGTTCTGGAGGAGGCATTCTTGTATCAAGGTCCACGAGGGGCCAGTTTCTGGTATAAGTTTTATTCCTGGCTTTTAGACAACAAATAGTATAGGAGACATGATTACTTACCCCTTGGGGAAACAAAAGTTGTTAGAACAAACATATTCATACTACATTGTTTAATTGTACTTAAGAATGTATCGTAGGCAAGAATGTAGATTAAGTTGACCATAGCTTTTGACATAACTATACTGAGGTACACACTGAAAGTATACTGTATCAATATTTGCCAAAGGCAACTATGTTAGTGAAATATTGGAGACTTAGGTCCTCAAAATATATGTATGTTTTTATATATATGTTTACACACACACTCACACACAATGTATTCATATTCACATATATATATGTGACAGTGACAGAAATTTGAGCTCTGTGGTTGATTCTTTCATAGTTCAGAGTCCCAAATACAGTACAAAGAACCTTGAATGGTTGTTGTATTTTCTAGCAGGCACACACTTCCCTTTATAATGAACACATTCTGATTTTTCACTGACTTACTGGCATCTTCAAGGTTGGGTGAGACCCATAGCTTGTGATTGTGCAGTTCAGTATTGTTTTTCTAAGAGAAATTCAGGGTGAATACCTGACAACTTTTTGCCTTTCTTGCTCATTTAATTTCCTCTGGTTTAGAATGAATCATCATGGAAAAAGACTTCGATAAAATCCATTTTATTAAAAATCGCCTCAAAGGTCAATGTTCATTGAAAATTACTCCTGGCATTGGCCTTTACGGTTATGTGGAGGTTAAGATTTGCTGCTCAGAACCAATAGAGGCCTCACATCACCACCTGCTATCCCAGAGGGCTGGGGAAAGTGAAACCCAGGCCATGAGCTAGAAAGGATTGCTTAGCTGCTTGAATGTTCTGGTTTCTGGCAGTGGTCCTAACCACATATTTTCTTCACAGTTTCTGGAGGTGGCTGTGGCCCAGATAGCAAGGATGACAGGGTCTAGTTGTCCCCATTGCTTAATTAAAATGTTGAACTTTTGAAAAGTTGTTTGAGGGCTCCTGCCTTTTATCCAGATTTTGGTTAATAGGAAATTTTCATCAAATTACTGTGAATGTGAACATTCTTTTTTAATCAGATTTTTTAAAACAAGAATATCCCTGAGTTCATTTTGTGTTGGCCAACTACTCCTGGGCATGATGCCTAGCCCTAAGTGTGGTTAATATACTCAATGAAGCTCAAACTAAAATTTTCTTTGCCAGCAGGTATCAATTGCATACAACTTCTTGATTACAGATAGGAGTCAATGTTCATTTTCCCCTTTTCAGTGTTGGAACATCACCTGGCTTGAACCTGTGCAGGACCTGTGAGTTGATATGTTTATCAACCCAGTTGCTCCTAGAAGACCTTGTTTCCTTGGGGTCATCCATTTGCATTGGGATCCTACAATCCTTCTGCTTCCTCATCTACATAGCTTGCTGAGACTTGTAGGGAGGGGTTTTATGAAGATGTCCCATTTAGGACTGAGTGCTCCAAAGTCACTCACTTATTGCATTGTCCAGTTGTGGTTAAAGTAGTTATCTCATTATTATTTATCAATAAAAAGTATCTGGAGTCAGATATTGCGGTAAGACCCTGAAAGATCAGAGATGCAGACGAGCAGCTACCAGTCGCCTCCTACCTCTTCTGTTTGGTTCTTCAAAAGGGCCCAGGTGCTTTCTCAGCCCTACCTTATTACTTCCTGTCTCCTCTGTGTCTATAGTCCTCCAAATATCTATGGTTAATTTTGGTTAGCTAGTGGCTAGCTTACTCTCTGACTCCAAGCAAGTTTTATTTGTCAGAACACAATGAAAATATCACAAACCTGTAGATCTTTGTTTTAGTTCACATCTACTGTAAAAATTAGCTTCTCTGATGATGGACAAGTAAGGTATTGATATATGAGTGCAGAAGAATTTTGTCAGGTATCCTTTAGCTTCAGAACAATAGTATTTGGTTTTCCCCTAGGCCTATGGCATATCCAGTCACAGGATTTTGGTAACTCTTGCAGTGTCTGGGATGAGTTCTAGCTCATGGACAAGGCTTTAAATCCAACCAGACAGTAGTTGGTTACTCCCACAAAGTTTGTACCACTACTGCTTAGCATATCTTACAGGCAGGTTGTAGGTTTCAGGATTTGCAGTTGGGTTGACGATTGCTTTTGTCTTCTGATATTGTGCAGAGTATCTCACTTTCAGTACCATGGACTTTTGTCAGTAGGTGTGAAGCATCAAGTTAGGTGCTATCCCAACTTCTCTGTGTGTGATGAGATATGTACGTGTTTACTTTAGCAACAGGGCCTTCCTATCAGTTTATGGTGATATCCTCGGGGATAACTGGTAATGGGGGAGAACATGTACAAATGGGCCTTTTTGGCAACAAAATATAACCCACTCCTGGCACCAGAGGTTTTACTTGGTGTTATAAGAAATCTAGTTGAGACATTCTCTCCCCTATTACTGGTGACTTCATTTAGATTCCTTTCATATATGTATAAAATTTAGGATCTTTTACAATAACTGGTCTTCATATGTCCCATCAAATGGCCCTTAGTGTTAGTTGTCCCTCCTCATATTCCTTCCCTTACACCTATCTTCCATCCCCCTCCCCATGTAATCCTCCCACTCTTGTCTCCCCTATTTCTTAATAATAGCATATTCTGTTTTGAAAATTTAATTCATTTATTTTATATCCCAACTGAAGTTTTCCCTCTCTACTGAAAATTGCTCTATATTAGGGTATACCTAGACTAAATGTTTACGTACCTAGCCTCCTGTTGAAGGGTATGTGTATTATTTGTTCTTTGCCTTGGTCTTACTATCATTCCCCCCTCCCAATTTTTAACTTAATTACTGTTGCTGTTGATATTGATTTGTACATGTAGCCAACATTATTATAGAATAAGAACTGGCAGTGGAATTATAATGTAAAAGCTATATTCACTTTCAGTTTAAGTAACTCCAAATTTTCAACAGGACAGTAAAAATGATGGCAACAATAACTCTCTCACAAACATGCTTTCTGCATATTATCTCTAGCATGTGACCATATTTTCTGCATTTTTTGTTTAGGCCATTAAGATAATGTACCTATTTTTAAAGTTTGCTGTCTGTGAGTTTGGGTTTTATTTTTTTTTTCAGGTTTATTAGCAAGCTGGTTTTCTTTTGTTGATTATGTGTTAGGATTAGTTTGTATTTTTTAAAATTAGAGTTTTATTTTGCAGAACTCATGTGTGAGTATTGTTATTTACTGCTTTCTTAACATAAAATTTGTAAAATTGTTTACATGTTCTATTTTTTTATAGTCATTGTTCCTCCTTTCCTTTTGCTTCATAGACATTTTATTTTAAATACTCTTTTATTGTGTTTATTTGTTTATTTATTGCTTGAATGTGTTTGCTTGTCATGATGGGTGCATATATTGGGGTCAAGGACACCTCAAAGAGGTCAGTTCTCTCCTTCTATCACATGGGTCCTGCATCAGGAACACATACCTTCATGTTTGCAGTAAGTATCTTTCCCACTGAGCTGTCTCACAGCCTAGAGCAAAAATTTTAAAATTTAATATAATAGCATTTGCCAATATTTTATTTATGGTTTTTTTTCTGGGTCTTGTTTAAGAAATCTGTCTATTTGTAGTTCTTCCTTTCATCTCCTTACTATTTGGAACTTTTTATTTTTATTTTTTAATGTGTAATGCTGTCTTCTTTCTGAAGTCTCTTAAAACACTGTACACCATGTATTACTACATTTTTCTTCTACTAAAATGATAAAACTTCCCTAATACTGTTTCTCAACAAATCATCCTACTCTTATTGATTTGTAATATTATATTTCCACATATAACTATCTAACTATTTTTTAATGTTTTGAGGGAAGTAGCTATTGTGCTTTGAATAATTCATATTTCTCCCAAAATTCATGCTTCAAAAGAATTCCTCAAGAAATGCATGAAGAGGTGTGGCCTTTAGAAGTGGACTAGATCACCCAGTGGTCCTTACAGAAGAGTGGCAGCAGGTGCCATCTTTCCAGCAGAGAGACCCTACCAGGCACCAAATCTGGCAATGCCTCAATCATCGACTTCACTGCTTCTGAATGGTGAAATATGGATGTGTGCTGCTTGTAAATTACCCTGTCTAGGGCATTTTATTATAGCAGCCCATGCCAGAAAAGATCATATCTTGTAAGGAAAGTTCCATTTCATTATGAGCTTTCTTTAGAGCTATCTTACCTAATCTTGGCTCTTTATTCATTATATATTTCAACTAGTCAAGTCCCCAAAATTCCTTCATTGAAATTTGGTCACAGTTTTAATTAATTTAGAGATAAACTGGGGAAAGTAATTATGCCATCTTTGTATTTAAGGTTTTTAATAAATGTAACTCTTTATACGTGTTTCTGTCATCTCAATCTAACTGCATATCCATTTCTGTTGGTATATGCATACCTCTGTAATTTTATGGACACTTTCAAGGATGTATCCATATTAATACCATTACAGATTTTAGTTTTCAGCCAGAAATTGTATGCTATTTTAAAATTAAATTTCTAAACATATTAAAGTATTCCAAATTCCTTGGGTTTTGGATTACTATTGTGAAAAAATTATATTTTATAATTTGATTTTTGTTTTAAAAAATTCTGTCTATAGGAATATTACCAAGTATTGTATGCTGATCTCATTTCTAAGCATCCCATAATTTTTGTAAATGTGCTTTTAGTAGATTAATTGCTGATTGTTCAGAAGATGTTATGTTATTTCAAGTGTATATTTCTTATAAAAGTGATTCTTTGTCTTTTCCTCTTCTCATATGTATGTTGTCTGAGATGTGAATGTTAGTGTACATAAGCATTTTTATGTGCAGAGGTGTGTGTGTGTGTGTGTGTGTGTGTGTGTGTGTGTGTGCATGTGTAGGCTAAAGGTAGATAGTAGGAATTTTCTATGATTTCTTTCCACCTTATTCACTAAGGCATGGTCTGCCAGTCAAACCTTTATCTCCTCCAAATGGCTAGTCTTGTTTACCAATTTGTTTCTGTCTCTGAGGCCACAATTATGGGGGGTGGCGGTGTCACACCCACCTGGCATTTCTGTGAGTTTTGGTGAATCAGTTCTCTGGCCTTTTTGTTTACTTAGAAAACACTTTTATCACTTAGCCATCTTGATTCCTAGTCCAGTTTGATTTACTCTATCCTCTTTTCCCTCTTATTTTTTTGAGATAGGGTCTCATGGATTAGGCTGGACTCAAACTTGGACATTTGAACCTCCTGCCTCCACTTCTGAAGTGCTGAGATGACAGACTGTGAGCTTCATGTTTGCTCAGCAAGTGCTGTACCAATGGATCCATCTCCCTAGCTCTTTTTCCTCCTCATTTTTTTAAGGGAAAAACATCCTCTAATGTTTGAATCTCTGGTGCAGTGTCGAGCAGGACTGTTGAGAATTTGTACCTTTCCCTTGTTTTGTTTCTAAATTTAATACCCATATTTCACTATTAGATGTAGTGTTCTCCAGATTCTGTCGTGCTGCAATTTAGCAGCCTGTGAAAACCACGTTTACTTCCAGCTTGCTAAGTGCAGTTTTAATCACAAATAACATTTGCTTTTTACCATTTTTGTGTCATTTGAAATAGATTTCTCTTCTTTGATCTGCAAATATAGAACATGATGGAAATTGATTTTGGATGTGGAAGCCTCTGTGTTCTTCAGGGATGTGCTCCTTCAGTCAGCATACACTGTGGAAAGGGATATCTTGGTATTTTTATTTAATGAGATTTCTTGCAGTATTCTATTCCAGTTCAGGTATCAAGTTCCCAGTGCCAAATAAATGCCAAGCCCTTGTCATCATTTTTCAAGTC